CGCACTTTGGTGTTAAGTGGTAACTTGGATGCCAGGACCGGACGAAGCATTGCCCGCGCACATCGTGCTCTACGGACGACGAGGTCGACGTGCGCAGTCATGCGCAGCGCCCGGTCGATCCGGCACCCAAGGTAGGTCACGGCCTTCTCGTACGCGATCTGCTGGCCATTGAGGGTTAGTTGAGGTGGTAGGTTCCTGAGGCGGCGAGTGAGCAGAGCGGTCGTCTTACCAACGTTGACGACCATCCTCCACTCATCTAGCCATGGTGGCAACAGGTCGAGGAGGCGTTGCATCCTGGCAGCGGCAATATGGGCTCTTCTGGAAGAGGTGAAATAAGCGCTATCGTCCGCATATAACGCCAATTCCACGTCATCCTCCCATTCTTGCAGCCTGCCTGCCAGGGTAGGGACGTCGTTGGTATAAGCCGCGTACAGGACTGGAGACAAACAGCTGCCCTGAGGAACGCCGGCTCTGATGGTTCTGGTTGCGGACTCGGCGCCCTCTACGCAGACGTAGAACTTCCTGTTTGCCAGGAAAGACGCCACTAGCCGCAACATAGCAGGAGGGACACTGGTCTGTTCTTTCAATTTAAAAAGTAGTCCAGAAGCACTCTGGTCAGCTGTGTTGCTGTAGAGTGACCCCTCCTGAATCCGTGCTGGTCCGCCCGAAGTTGGATGCACGGGCGGAGGCGTCTTAGCAACAATCTTTCAAGCAGTTTAGCTATGTGTGGTAGCAGCGTGATCGGCCTGTAGCTGGCAGCTCTACGCCTGTCCTTCCCGGGTTTCGGCAAGACGATTACTTTGCCTTTCTTCCAGTCCTCCGGGAAGTGGGATGTCCGCAGTATCCCATTGTAGAGTCGACCAAGCTCTACTAGGACTCTATGGGGCAGCTGTCGGAGTGCAGCGTTGGTAATCCCGTCGTGCCCCGGCGCCTTCCTCGGTTGCAGGCGGGTTGCTGTCCACCGCAGTTCAGCGGGGGAGATGAACCACTCTCCTGCAAGAGGCGGCGCGGGCGACGACAGGAACTCCTGTACGCGACTCTTTTGGGCATGAAGCTCCAAGAACTCCGCACTTGCTGGGTTCGGCATAAATTGCTCCTCGAAGTGCTCGACTAGGATATCCGCTCTACCCTTGGCATCGTAACGACGTTCGCCCGCGTTGTTGGTCAGCGGGCAAACGGGAGGTTTGGCTTTAGTTAACTGCCGGTTCAGTTTGTAGAGCGACGCATCGTGCTCTTCCGCCTTCCATATGCGCCGCTCCCAGGCATCTCCTCTGTGTGCCTGGACTGCAACCGACAGTTCCGCGAAGACACACAGGACGAGTTCCCCCCTTTGCTAATAGCTACACCTTTTAGTAGCTCAGATGCTTAGCGCTGGACCGCGGTATCCTTCAGTTGTACCGAGTACTTGTTAGACACTCTAGGTCTCTAACTCGTGTAAAATATGTAAAAATAGCATATTATAATATACTATTAATTTTTAAATTTTTCTAACTTTACCCACCTTAATTAGTGTTTATTTAAAAGAAATTGTGTTTTCGATGATGACCGGACTTTTAACGTTTAAAATTTCGAGTACGGTCTTGATTATTACGGGAGATAAGCAATGATTTCAAAATGAAGGATAGGCCCATCTAAATATTTCACTCATAACTTTTTCATACAACAAAAGGTAGCGCATCTGTCATAATACAAACGTCATATCAAAACACGACGTAACCAGGGTCGGATTTTGTAGTATAATCATCCTAATTGTACCATTATTTCAAAGTTTGTAGTACATAGTATCGTAATAATACTAAGCGAAAATACCATAATTTTACCTATAGGTCGACTTTTATTATTATTGGGTCCTTTTACATTTTAATATTAACCATACGATATCGAGAATTTCTGTATTGTACATAAGTACCGCGGTTTTTTTTAATAAAATTATAATTACCTATCTTTCTGGTCGATGCGCGATCGATGCATTTATTTTGCAGATCCCCAAGGAGGCAATAAAAAAAATCCAATTAAGAAGATATGGTTTCTTTTGTACTCTTTTCGTTTTACCTTCATTGAATATAAAATATGTTAGGTACCTACCAATATTCAAAATTTAACTTACACTAACTTCTTTAGACAAAAGTTAAACAGAAATAAAAATAAAACCCTCAAAAGACGAAATGTATAGATAAAATAGACCCGTGACGGCAAAATCCCGGCACATAGGAAAAAAACATGAAACGTCAAACGTGATATAATTTTTTTAAATAATTAAAGTTTATTTTCCATGTACAATGTTTTTGATGTCTGAATCCAACCCTGGCCTAATCTTGGCAACGTAACTAAACTAACAGTAAAATAAAACTTTAAAAATGCGTTTATATAATAATTTAATTGTAACAAAATTAATATAACATTATGATCCTATGATACGATGTCCCATGTTTTTTTTTTAAATCTTTGTATCGTAATTTTTGCATTCTTTTACACGCAACTAGAGATATTTGTGACCATTGAAGTAATATGTACTTACGTACTAGAACAGCTATTTCAAACAAAAAATGTGCGCTACTCTGTGTTTGCGCGGTTTGTTTTCTTATCATAGAATAAACATAGGTAGAATGATCAGTAGGTAATAAAAGACTGTACTGTTAAATAGGTAAATTATATCGAGAACAATTTTTTAAATTTTGTCATTTATTTTGTATATTATATTTGCTTATTTAATAAAATACTACATAATATTATATCACAATAAATTTTTAATTATATATTTATCTCAATATTTCAAAAGGTATCTATCTCAAATATAAAAAACATACTAAATGTATGTTTAACAAAACTTGTTAATATAACATTTAAATTACAAATATATTTATTTAAATTAGAATAAGAGTCGGTCATAAATACTGGGCACGCGAGAGTTAAAAATTGACGAATTTATTCCACTTTGACTTTGATGTGGAAACCTAAAAATAAAATATAAGAATAATTGGCCTAATTATGATAGCTCATATATGTTTCTACAAAAAAATGTGTATAATAATATATTCGTCCTATATTTAAGTACCCACAGAAATGTCGCATCTAAACAAATTAATTTCCTAGTCTATATTACGTGACACAAAATGGCGTCTTAGGAATAATTTGTTTTATTACTAATTTATAATACTTTTTTATTGATTAAGTATCTTATTAACCATTGAAAAGTAATTCCTTGGTTTTTACTGACATTTCTTGAATTATTTGTGCAATATCTAAGTACGCACGACGGCATATTTTTATCACGAGATTTTTTTTAAATCAACACAACACGTGTCAACTATACAAGCGCCTAGCGAGTGACTGATTAAAGAGCAGTGTATGCACCGCAGTTGAATGGAACATAGTAGCTGAATGCAATGTCGCCTCTAGTACGTAGTACATAATAGCTCAATGTTTGTGACAGACAAATCTGTCCTGCGCGCGCACCACTGTCGAACGATTCGTGTTGGCCCTAAACTGTAATTTAAGGGCCAGCGCACTGGTCCGTTTTAGTTGTTCGGTCAGCCCGGTCCTTACGCTAGTAATATATAAGTCAATGGAGATAAGTTAAAACAGTTGACCATGGATAAGGACGTTAATTTTTAATGTACAAAATCTGACATATATAAAGTTCAAAAACTTTATCAGTTTCTATAAAAAGGGCTATATCTAATATTAAGGAATTTATGGATGATAATAACCACTGGGAAGGGTGATCTACCAAGCTATTTCTGATTTGTTTTGTGTTGTTAATTGTAAATACACGATTAAAAGCTCCTATTTTAAAAAACAGTCCCGCTGGGTTTCTTGCTGATTCTTCCCAGGACAGAGGTTTTTTTTTGTGAAGCAGTGGTAAATGAGACTTTCAATAAGTATTATTTATAATCCATAATGAATAAAAAAAGTTGCTGTGTCTATTTCTGTTTCTATGAATTTCCTAATATCCTGGCACCTCAAAACATAATCCCAAAAATCACGTAAAAATATCCATTGACTGGCATTTTGTTATTTAAAGGTATAAAAAATTCCACGCTTTCTACATATATATATCGTTTTTATTTATAAAGAATAATGTCTTTTTATCTATCTTCTAAGCAAAATCACAGGTATTTCTTATAAGTACTAACTTAAATATTTTAGTTACAGATTATTTTTTTCAAAAAATAAATTATTAAAAGCATTAGTTTAACAGACATATTCTTTTCATCAGCTTGTAAAGTCCACGACTGAACAAGTGAGTTTAAGGCGTACATTACACGCTCATGCAGGCGTCAATCAATTCCATCAATCATGATTGATAAAAAACGGATGGTGACTGATATCGTACATTACACGCTCATGCAGGCGCCAATCACTGCTTTACACGGTAGGTTATTCGTCAATCACAGCCGTGGTTGTTGTAAAACTGACAGCCTGCATGAGCGTGTAATGTATGCCATAGGCGTACATTACGCGCTCATGCAGGCGTCGATCACTGCATTACACGGTAGGTTATTCGTCAATCACAGCCGTGGTTGCTGTAAAACTGACAGCCTGCATGAGCGTGTAACGTATGCCATAGGCGTTACGCACTCATGCAGGCGTCAATCACTGCATTACACGGTAGGTTATTCGTCAATCACAGCCGTGGTTGTTGTAAAACAGACAGCCTGCATGAGCGTGTAATGTAACGCCTATGGTTGCAGAGATGATTTGCCTCAATCGTCATACTTGGCAGGCGGCTTGCCAGTCGCGGCACCAGGTGTATTCGCACCTTTGACACTCTTGCCCTTGCGCGTATTTTACTATTTCATACCTGGCGAAATCGAGATGACTAAACCGCCATCTAACGGAAGCTTTAACATAATTAAAATAACATTTTCGGGTATTTTCCACAGTCGTACATTCCATAGATGGATTCTGTAACGCCACCATCACACTAAAAGTTATTATAATGATATAGAAAATACTTTTGTATGTTTTAAATTCAGTTCTTCATATAAAAGAAGCGTTTAGTTAAGACGTTCAAATAAATTTTGTTTTACGAGATCTATTACATTACTCTGACAAAAAGCATCTATGACGGCTTTTGTCAAACAAAGCTTGTCAGTAGCGCCCTCCACTTCATCTTCTTCCAGACTTTTGTTTCCATTGGCGAACTCCTTTATATTTTCTTTTAATAAATTAACTAAATCATTAGTTGTAATACTGGCTGCTAATTCTAAATTATTTTCTTCATTATCTAGCAACAATTGCAGGTTGAATTCTTGTGTTGATGGAATGGCAACGTCAGAGTCGTCTTCACAAGTTTTATGCCGTTTAATTCGTCGCACTTTTCGCTTGTTGTCCAAATATTTTTTAACCACAGTGTCAAGTTGTAAAAATAGCACTGCTAATGGCATTTCTGATATATCATCCTGAAATACGAAAACTAGTTAATTATGCGGATCAAATTAGCTTGCAGGTGAAATACATACTGCGTACTGTGAAATTTTACCCTGAGCTATCATATACTACATTCAATAAACTATAATGTTTATATTATTCATACCTCATTTGGATTGACCAGAATCTTTGCAGTTTCTTGAGGTAAGTCTTTACATACTTGTGCTACTAAAATTTTAATCAAAGCCTCTGAAACCTGCGCTGAAGTATCTTTTTCCTGTAAAAACAATTAAAATACATTTTAATAAATATTTTATTCTATTAAGTTTTAAAAGAGAATTTAAAATATAACATTTTCAACAGCAACATAATTCTATCAAAAGTTCATAGAGCAACACGGGCCTCCGGCGGAGCGGAGGGGTGTGTAGCCACAGGGTTTTTCTCGATAGAGGACTGTCATTTTTTGCGGGGGAGGGCGGAGAGATCTGCCCACAAAAACAATTATTAGTCACTACAAAACTTACACGTAAGAATTAAAACAATAAGCTAACAATTTCACCCAGAGATACGGTCGGGGACAGCGACAAATCGGATATAGACTCGGATCAGTCACTCGACCGAGCGGTCCGTTAGTACACAAATCTGAAAAAACACGATAGTTATTATTGAAATTTTAAGTTTAAAAAGAAGTAAATAGCAATATTATGATTAAAAATTACTTATATATGAAAGGTAACGCCATCTTTATGTAAACTTGACGCAGAACTCGGATCTCTTTTTGTAGAAAATAAAAAACCTTAACAATTTGGCATTTTTGTAGGACTTCGATTCAGACACGAAACTAGATTTAGTATAATGAGCAATGCGGCTACAACTAGTGACATAGAATCGCGTGGAATTATTATTTAACAGAAGAGAACGCCTGTATATGGCTACTCCCCTCGGGTCCGTCGATGGTTCCTATTGATCTATGCAAAAGACACAGAAAGAAAAGGTTATTTACATGAGGCAGCCAAACATTGAGAGAAATATTCACTTCATCCAAATTTTGTACATAATGCCACCAGCCTTTTGGAACCACTAGTGCATCTCCTGCTGAAAGTTCTACCATACGTGCACCTGTCAAAGCTGCAAGAATTAAAGACAAATTTTGGGAAAAAGATAATGTGCTCCTCATTTTTTAGAAAATCACAATTCTAATATTGTGATTCGCGGAATTTTTATTTATCATAGAATACTATAATACACAACAGAATGGCTGTCAAACTTAATTTGTACCGAGGTTCGGCGTCGCCGGGAGCACACATGCAAGCAAGCAATTACGTCGTATTATCAGTTAATCACTACTACAAACCCGATTCGCTGTGCTGACAGACGGATTTTAATACATATTTATTTGTAAATAGCGTGCAATTTGGCATAATTTGCATGCGAAAGGAGACGGGCGAAAGTTCATATAAAGTTGGGCCTGATGTTACAGCAACGATTACTGTATTATTTTATTTAAAAAAAAAAAAAAATGTTTACGAGTGCTCCATGGTAGAAAAAATATAGGTTGTTATTTTGCTTATGATATGCATACACTGTTATTTTCACACCAAGCTCTCACATTACACTTTAAGAAAATAATTATTAGACTTCATTGTAAACTAGACTTCACCATAATTTTATGTATTGTAGGACATTCACAAATAGAAGGTTCAGACGCCGCCGTCCAACTAAATTCTAGAAGTTTGAAATAATTATAAAAAAGCAAAAGGAGGATGAATTAAAAACATTTTCTCTTTTAATGATTTATTAATCGTCCACTTCATAATAAACAAATAAAATGTCTAAAAACGATGCATGCGGTAATAAATTCTCTTGACGCCTTGCCCAGCTTAGGTACCATATTATGGACATAACATGACAACAGCAACCTACAGTTCTTTTTCTACCAAAGAATTGAAATAATACTGTTTGATGATCTACCATTACGAGGACTGTCAACTAAAATATATGTAAAATATGTTTTTGAGCTTAAGTATATGTCTCGATTTTATTCGACCTCTCAATAGCCAGCTAGAATGGTTGGATAGTACCATTCCAGTCGCTATTAAGAGGTCGAATAAAGACAATACTCTTAGTAGGTTGCTGTCCGTTTCTAGACACACTTCTATTTCATATCTCCCATCTTGTATGTGTTCACCATAATGGGACCTAGCCATTGAGTTATAATGTACTACGTACTAGAGAAGCTATTCCAAACAAAAATTGTGCGCTACTTCTATGTCTTCGCGCATGCGCGGTAATAGTAGAGTCGCGCATGCGCAGTTGGTATAAACGCGCTTTGCGCTTGCGCGGTCAGTTTTTGTTATTATAGATTATACGTAAGTAGAATGGTCAGTATGTAATAATTGTTTATTTATATTGTATTGTTAATTATATCGAGTACTTACAATTTTTTAAAATGTTTTTTATTTTGTATATGTGCTAATTTAATATAATATTACATAATATTATGTCAGAATTACATTTTGATGATATTGTTATCTGAATATTTTAAAAGGTATCTATGTCAAATATAAAAAAACGTACTAAATGTATGTTTAACAAAACTTATTAACATAAAATTTAAATTACAAATATATTTATTTAAATTAGAATCATAAATGTTGTAAATAATCGTTCATAAATGCTGGGCACGCGAGAGTTAAAAATGGACGAATTTATTCCACTTTGACTTTGAAGTGGAAACCTAAAAATAAAATAAAAGAATAATAAGCAGATTTAAACATGAAAAATTTAGCTTAATTATAATAACTTATATGTTTCTACAAAAAAAAATGTGTAGTATAATAATATATTCGTCCTAAACTTAAGTACCCACAGAAATGTCGCATCTGAACATATTAATTTCATAATCTATATTCAATGATACGAGATGGCGTCTTAGGAATAATTTGCTTTATTATTAATTTATAATACTTTTTTATTGAATAAGTATCTTATTAACCGATGAAAAGTAATTCCTTGGTTTTTACTGACATTTCTTGAATTATTTGTGCAATATCTAAGTACACAAGACGGCATATTTTTATCAAGAGATTTTTTTTAAATCAACACAACACGTGACAACTCTACAAGCGCCTAACGAGTGACTGATTAAAGTGCAGTGCATGCACCGCAGTTGAGTGGAACAGAGTAGCTGAATGCAGTGTCTCCTCTAGTACGTAGTACATAATAGCTCAATGGACCTAGCCCACTTAATTTTATAAATACCTAAAGATATTTTTATTAAATTACTGTGTGTGAGCTGGGGAAAATCATTTATCATTTTGCACATGTATTCTTGTAAAATCAGAAAAGAAACCGTCAGAATCCTTTATACGTAGCCAGAGTCGTTAAAGATGGGAATATTATTACAGCACAGAAAAACAACAGAAAATATTCACTACCACCGCAAGCTCAGAGCCAAACAAAAGTTCCCTATATAAAAAAGTACTCTAAGAACAAAAGTAACAAATGATTTGAGTGACGTTTTTAGTTTTTAAACTAACGTTGACATTTCCGCTCTGTGGCCTGTATAAAACATTGATAATCGATTTATTAATTTATTTAGTCAAGTTACTTTTAGGACTATTTTGAAACGTTAAGGTGTCACGAGGGAACCATTATTTACTTTTTATTGTCTTTTTTTCTATTTTTGTATTAAAATTGATTAACTAACCTACAAATAATCCCGTACAGTAGCCGCCGTGTGGCAACGAGCATTATCATGCATTAACATGAATCCATCACCGACATAACCAGCATACGGGACCACATGTTCCTCCAGGATTTCAGTAATGTACCGACCAGCATTTAATGACCCTTGCCCACGGCCACCCCGAGTCCGGGAAACGCACACAAGTTCCGTTTTCCCGTCGACGGAAATGCCGCCCCAAAACATACACAAGCCACCCCCGTATTCGATGGATTCTTCGAAGCAGGGTTGTGAACCTCTCCCCCTGTCTTCTGTAGACCCTTCTACGTCTGTCATTGCAGAAGAGACAGACCCTCGTCTCATCAGAGAAGAGTATGGTCCGCCACTGTTCTAGAGTCCACTCGCAATGATTGCGAGCAAATTCTAGGCGATGCTGTGCAGTAAGTTTTGGACCTTTAGCAGGTCTATGGGCTGTTAAACTCTTTTCGTGTAACCTTCTTCTTATCGTAGAAACACTCACAGATGTTCTCCGAGTTGATCGAAGCTGTTGTTGCAACTCAACAGCATTTGTAAAACGGTTTCGTAAAGATGAAACGGTCATCTCTTTCTGATGTGCACCGTTTTCTTCCAGATCCCGGTTTTCTAACATAACCACCAGTCTGCTGAAAACGTTGGAACACCCGTCGAACTGAAAAACGGGACAGGCTCAACTGTTGAGCAACGTCACACTGCCGCATCCCCGACTGCAATAGGGTAATCGCTTGAGCGGCTTCTTCAGAGCTGGTGTCCATCTTTACTTGTTCTTACTTGGGTTACTTGTTCACGTGTGTTCACTGCAAAGTCTAAATTACGACTGACCCATATTTCATTTTTTTTTGCGCCCGAAGCAATTAAAGGGCTACCCTATACGTAGGGAGGCGGAAAATGCATTACGCATACCACGATAGCCGGTCTATCGTGTTTATGAGGGGCTCACTGTCCTAACGGGGACCCTAAGTGATACCCTCTAAAAACCGCCTTTGAGGACAGGCAACCGGCTGATTAAGCTCTATTGTGCCTTATCATGAGCGACCCTCTTTTGGTAAAAGAGGGCGCAGGCGGCTAAGTACCGCAGAGGGAGTGCCTACGAAGGCAAATTAATGTTAGTTATTACAATAATTTTATTTAATTAGAGTTGGCCTGAGCCGCCAGGAGACAGTTCAGGTCGTTTGAAAGTTTATTAGGCGGGTCCGAGAGAGAGTTTCTCGGCCTGCGGACACGATAGCGAGAGGGGGGTGGGGCTGCATAAGAAGCTGCCTCACGAATTAAATGGTTTGGGTGCGACTCTGAGGCTTTGAAGAAGTTCTCAGAGAGTTTTTTATAAAATTGTTGAATTGTTGGGAGCTCTAAGTCCCGATGAAGGTCGGCATTACGGACGTACCAAGGTGCGTTCGCAGCTCGACGACAGAAGAGGTTCTGAACTATTTGGAGTTCATTTAAAATATTAGGGTTTGCGTGGGCAAAGACGGGGCCCGCGTAGGACCCCCATATTTCATCCAGATCGACCCTTTTATACCCTTTTTAGGTGGTGTAACTAGCGTCCTTACTAACGAGCATTTGACAGTGTTTATTTTTGACGCTCTATAATGATAAATGTTTTAATGATTTCATGATTTTTTTATTAATAATGTAAAGCTATTCAAATACCCATTTCAAACATACCAATATTTATATAAATATAATTCGTTTCTAGCCATTACAGCCATTTTTCGTGACGCTGAGTGTATTTCATCTGGCAGCATTGTTTAAAAATAAAAATAACGGAAGTCAGTATTATTCTTATTAAATATTTAATTTCTTTTGCCATGATAAAACTGCTTAATATTTCATTATTAACTATAAAAAAACTTTAAAAAAATATTGATAAATATTTCACTTGTAACGTGAGGCCCAAATTCGCCAGTCTCCTTTGGAAACGATTGTAACGTCAAAACACATCTCGTGTTGACATTTATACATGTGAATTGACGTCTTAGTGGCATTTTAGTGGCTACACGGGCTCCGCCCACACCCCCGTTCTATTATGTATTTATTATAGCATTCTATGTTATTTATACATATTTTAATTTAAGATTTCAGTTTCCTTACAAGCAAGTTTATACAATTTTTTTCTACATTTCATACCTATATAAATAAAAAAATTGTGTGCCGCATCTAACACATTGAAGGTTGAAAAATATACACAATTGAATTGGAGCTTCTTATATGTTGAAACTATTTCCAATACTAGTTCCATAATACGAAAAAAAAGAAATGAATTTCAAAAAATACTAATACATTTTCCTTCCAAAATCATAATTTCATTTCTCCTAATTCAATTAAATTCATACCTTCCAGGACGGCTGTCCGAGTCCAATCCGGTTCTGCCTCTCTTTGAACCTTCTCAGTACCTTACTGGAGGGCTCCAGGAGGGAATTTCAGCTTCGGAAAGGAGGTACAAAATCGACCCACATTTTCTCTATGGATGATCTCAAATTATTCGCTTCGTCATTCCCACGTTATGGAATTGCTAAAACTCACTTGTAATTTTAGCAATTCTATTAGAATGGAGCTGGCGAAGGATAAGTGTGCGGTTCTTCATGTCGAAAGGGGAAGGGTTGCTAACACTGAGGGCATGAAATTATCTATGCCCATCAACTTAAGGACCCTTTCCGAGGCTGAAATATACCAATACCTGGGTATGTCACAGAACATATGTATCGCTGTGGCGAGTATGAAACAGTCTGTTTGCGACATGTTTATGTTACTTAACAGCCTTTTGTCTGGTATGAATAAGGCTCACGCATATAAGGGTTGTGTCATGCCTGTCCTCATGTATATACCTTTGGCACACTCAGGTGGACTCAGACTGAACTTAACGCCCTGGATAGAAAAGTCCGCACCACCATGACGTCCCATAGGATGCATCATCTGAGATCGTCGGTAATGAGGCTGTACTTGCCGCGAAGCATGGTGGGCGCGGCTTTTTGAGCGCGCTCACCATGCATAATCGCGAAGTGTGCAGCCTCCGTAATTACTTCCTAGCGAGATCGGATGATCCATTCTATAACGACGTCATTTCTTGTGTTAAAGGACTTACCCGTCTATCCTTAGCCAACGAGCAATGGCAAGACTCGGCAGTGCAGAGCATTTCCAACCGGGAGACCGTATGGAAGGGGAAGGAGCTCTACGGGATGTTCTACAAGGCTCTACATGAGCCTTACGTAGACACAGTAGCCTCCTTATACTGGCTACGCTTTGGTAACCTCTTCGGGGAAACCGAGGGTTTTGTCTGTGCAATACAGGATTAGGTTATTAAGACCAACAACTATCAGAGATACATCCTAAAGGATGGCACCGTCGACGTCTGTCGAGCTTGTCGCCATCCCGGTGAGTCGCTTAGGCATGTCATCTCCGGTTGTTCGGCGCTTTCTAACTCCGAGTACTTGCACAGGCACAACCTAGTAGTCAGAATTCTTCACCAGGAGTTCGCTCTGAAATACGGTCTCGTGGACCGGAAATTGCCCTATTACAAGTACTTGCCGGAAGCCGTGCTCGAAAATGATCGCGCCAGGTTCTACTGAGACCGGGCCATCATCACAGACAGGACTATTTTTGCGAATAAGCCTGATATTGTGCTGATGGACCGGGCACAGTCAAGGATATTTTTGGTCGACATTACCATTCCGTATGACGAGAACCTCGTGAAAGCCGAAACAGATAAACAAACAAAATATCTGGACCTGGCTCACGAGGTGACCGACATGTGGGGTGGTCTGCCGACCGAAATTATTCCTGTAGTCATTTCTGCAAACGGGGTAATCCCAGTCAGTTTTCCGGGTCATCTGAGGCGGCTGAGACTCCGTGACGGACCGCTCCAGGCTCAAATGCAGAAGGTGGTGCTCCTCGATACCGTCCACCGGTTTCTTTCCCTTTCCTCCTAACCCTCGGCCGTTTGGTCTCCCCTGCCGAGGGCCTCCATTTGGATGGGCTTTTATTTATTTATGTATTTTTATTAATTTATGTTAGTATATGAAATATATATATTTATGTGAATTTATCATTTCCTTTTATATATTTATTCAGCCCAACCAGATGAGAATACACTAATAATAATAATAATAGCACTTATTAACAATTTGTGAAGTATAACTTAATAATAAAGTTTCAATATTGCAAGTCATACCTATAGAAATTAGGAATTTATCCCACATGTACTTACATTATTACTGTTTTACAAATTCACAACTGTTATTTTAAAATTATTTTTGGACATAGCCATAATCTTATAATAGTCACCATTTTAATAGAAGTCAAAATGTGTTGTATGGACTGGTGATAGGTATCAGCATGTCAGCATGACCAATAATTGGGGGTAGGGCCAGCACTTACTAACCAATTCTGATCAACATGGTGAGTTTGGACAATTATTTCAAGGTTACAACTTGGTTGAGTTAAGTTTGCACCTCACTGCAACGAGACCCCTCTGTTTCTCTCTCAACTTATTGTTCATAATATAGTTGCATCAGCACCATAGAATACTATAATACATACATAATAGAATGGGGGTGTTGGCGGAGCCCATGTAGCCACTAAAATGCCACAAGACTTCAATTCACACGTATAAATGTCAACATAAGATGTGTTTTGACGTTACAATCGTTTCCAAATTTCGCATGCTAATTATTTAGAAAATGCCAATTTGCACGCTATTTACAAATAAATATGTATTAAAATCCATCTGTCAATACAGCGAATCGGGTTTGTAGTAGTGATTAACTGATAATATGACGTAATCGCTTGTATGTGTGCTCCCGGCGACGCCGAACCTCGGTACAAAATAAAGTTGATAGCTATTCTATTATGTATTATAGTATTCTATGGTCAGCACAGTTTGCATCTTTGCTACCTGTCTGTGTCTCCTATATGTTTAGTTATTTGGATTGGACACCAAGTGCAAACTTAGCTCAACTGCATTGTTCATATTTTAGTAGCAGAAGCTTGAAAGGTCTATATCCAGCAGTAGATGTAAAGACACTGGCACAAAAAGAAGAAAGGAATTAAAAAGATTATATAATTACCAGTAAAAACATCTAAATTACTTGGGCAGTAGAAATTCAATTCACTATATACACTTGATTCCTCATAAGGTACTCTAGTAGGCTTTAGGTTACCTGTTTCAGGGGGAAACATAATCCATCGCTTCCTGTTAATACAATTCATAACTTTTATAAAATTAATAGGAATTTTATACAAAAAAAGTATAGACATTACTACGAACCTTCCGTGCAACTGTGCAATAATATTATATCCATAAGTATCTTGATGAGCAGGAGTATGTGCACCTTTACTTCCAATCCACAATACACTTTGTGCAGCACCTTTGTCAGGAAAGCCAAATTTTTTCCATGATACTTCCTAATTGCATGAAGTAATATAATATAGTAACAATTTTTTTATAGCAGTCTTTTATATAATTGATATGTATAAAACTGTAATTTATAGAAATATATGTGAAATGAAACCTAAAAATGCTAAATAAATGTTCAAACCATTTAACAACCTTATATCTTTGTTATAAGGCACAAAGTTTATCAAATATGTATTTGCCGCAGAGATATTGTCAAATTCGTATCATTATAACCTCACTTGTAAAATATAATCGCACAGATTTTATCAAATGCTACCAGTTTATTTGATATCATGGACAGTTCCAGTGTTACAATACAATACAATCTCACAGTGTGTTGTGTGTTACAGTAATTAACCTAAAAGGTACATATACATGATGAGCCAAATATGTGATGGGGGCCTTGGTGCATTTTGATAAATCAATTCTTTTTCACCCGTGATTTTCAAAATAATAGTTTGAAACATTGGAGCGTGCTTACAAATGTATAATATATTATATAAATGTCTGCAGCTTTGAGGGTGGCCCAAGGCCCACCTAAGCCTCACCAAAACAGTACGTTGATATTACTTGATAAATGCTTTTGTATTTTACAATCTAAATATATAGTTCTCAGGTTGGCTATAGATATCCAGTACTTGATTTTAATTTCTTTTCCCTTGGCTGATGTAGAAGCTGGATTGTCTTTTAATACTGGGTTACACAAAAAGAGACAGAAAGAGAGCTGTAGATCTAAGACAAATTACCAAAATTGAAGATATAATAGTTAAAATTAGAAAACTCAAATGGAGATGGGTAGGCCACATGATGAGAGAGAATAGAAATAAATGGACGAAAGATATAACCGAATGGACATGGAAAACGCGGAAGACAAAGAAAACGTTGGTCTGATGACTTAAAAAAGAATGCGGGTCCAACATGGCACAGAACAACTGAAACAAGAGCAGAATGGAGCAAGCTGGAGGAGGCCTTCGTGTCGCAAAGACACGCCGACGCGACGCCCGATAACAACATCATACTAATATAATATCAACTAAAATTAAATACATACGATATTAATAATGTATAATAGTAATTCAATAATGTTAATAATGAATTTAATGTTAAGGTCAATTTTACTTTAAAGTTATATATTTTAATTTGCATGCATAATTTTAACTATGAAATGATAAATTATGTATTTTGTGTTGGCAATAAAGGCTTAATAATAATAATAATAAACTTGATTTTAATTATGTTTTCAGTTTTGGCTTGTTAGGGTTAAGCTTGGACCTTTTACACTGTTTTTGGATATCAGAAATGCTTTTTGAATTAATTACGACAAAATTAAATTCACAAAAAATTTCATATAACGAAACATAAATATGTCAATTTGTTTTTTAACACCGATACACAAAATATATAAGACATAAAAAAGTTTATCACTCAGACCCAGATAATCTATTTGTGGCTAAAGATTGGACTCATACACAACAACTGAGTTGCAGTTGTGAGCAGTCCAAGATATTTTTCAGAAAAGAAAATTACAACAATTCGCAATACATTTGTTTCAGTATTATTATCATCAGTATTATAGCAGAGTTTAGGTCAACCTGACTTTATAGATCATGAGCATGGTCTGACTCTTCATAGTCTAGTCTGCCCTACCCCTAGTGTTTTTATAAAATAAGCCAAACCTGCAGATGTGAGCATAGGAGCCTGTAATTTTCTACACAAAGGTGAAGGGGCTGCACTTTGCCGTTGCAGAAGTAACTTTGCAGAAGGATGGGGGAGCCTCCCATGAACCCATCCTCACCCCCGTCCCCCACTCCCGTATGCAATTACCAGATGTCTAGTTTTACCTAGTTATTATTAAGTTCTGTTGCAAAATTGCCACCAAAAATAATTTAACTTCTCTTATAATCTAAGGGCCCTGCACATCTAGTAAAATTATCAAAATAAAACTTCCATATAATTTCACACTCATTTAAGTGAAATTACGATTCCACTGGAGCTATAGTTACTGTAATACAGTGAAGTAATGAAGGCGTTTACCAGTCTGTGTAATTACAATTTTGCTAATGAGATTGTGATATCACGATACGATAACATTATACGCACAAGGTTATACTAATAAATATAGCTATACCTTGCTTAATTCGTGATCTCCACTAAACCACTGTTGTAAATATTTGTAATCAAAATACATCCACTCTTGACTCCCTTCTACTCTGTCAACAAAATCATTAAAGGTCATAGACTTTTCATTGCACATCCTCTCCCAACAAGGGTTTTCCGAAACAAAATCCTTTTTCATGCACCGAAAAGGCATCAGCTTTTCACCGAAAGCCGAAGACCACTTTCTTAAATCCCACTGGCGCAAAGGCCAATCGTCAACAAAATGCCGTAAGATTATAGGTACTGTTGTTCTAGTAATTACATTTCTTACTAGGTCTTCATTATTTAAAGAAACCATATCGTTTAAGAAACTGAAAATGATTACAATCACATCCACAACAATTCACTTTTTCTTGTATTTTTTTTTAAATATGGCAACCTAACAATTACTGCCAGCCTCCAGTCAATAAAAATACTTGTAACTTGAAATGAAACGACGGACAATCTAAAGAGAAACTACGATTCTGATTAAAAACCGAAATCATAATGTTAAGAACCATAGAATACTACAATAATGAATCATGAAATGACTTGTACTGAAGTATATTAAATAAATGATGGATGTTAGGTTGAATTAAAATAATACCAAACTCAATGCCACATTTAAAATAATAAGTATTACTAAATAAAGGCGATTGATTGCTAAATAATGAATAAAATTTTATAAACTAATATTATTTAAATCTAAAAATTCCATAAGACAATTGAAAACATTTTAACTTTTTTTAGAAAAAATTAAAAGAGAACAAATTTCTGTAGGAAGAGGAATTTTAAGATTTACCAAAGTGTTAAATAATGAAGTATGATCATATAAAGGACACGAGAAGAAAATATGGTTGAGGTCACCAATATCCAAACCACATTCACATATTGAAGAATTTTTAATATGAAGCCTAGCAAGGTGAACCGAATTACAGCAGTGACCCAAGCGCATTCTACATAACATTGATGTATGTTTCTTATTTATGGATAATTTATAAAACCAAGGCTTAGAAGGAATGATGGATTGAATTTTGGCATAGTGACAGCCTTTTGTCGTTTTGGTTTTGTTCCAATATTTTGACCATCTATCTCTACATACTAATTTCGTAGTTCTTATAAGGTAATAGCAATAATTTTTAAATAAGAAAGTATCCCCACAGACTATAGCTTGTTTAGCAAGTTTGTCAGCATATTCATTACCAGATATACCAATATGACTCGGAATCCAAACGAGAGAAATGTTGATGTTTTGGAATTGGTATAAGAATAAAAGTTTCTTAATTTCAAATATCAAAGGATTGCGGGAAATGTCATAGAAAGGATTACATAACAATGCTTGTAAAGAACTAGGACAATCTGAAAATATCACGCTTGATTTTAATTTAAAAAGATAGCAATGTTTTATTGATTGTAAAATGGCTAACATTTCTCCAGTAAAAACTGAAGATTCGGGAGGACTTTTCATTTTTTGAACTATTCTCCAATTTCGATGGTATATTGCACATCCAGTCAATCTTTTGAATTAATTTTATAGCTAGTTGTGGGGTAAATTTTTCCTCGCACTTGTAACCCTAAATATAGTGACGTATTTTTTTTGTTTCTTTCTGCGACACGCTATGGCGGTGTCTATAGGATTCTCTGTCTACGATATGTGGCATAGATGAGCATAGATAACAAAACATGAGTCTTCCCGTAGACAGAGAAACCTATTAGGCATTAGATTAGGCAATAAAATAGAGAATAGATTATAATTAAAAACTGCCGCATTTTGTAAATAGTAAATAAATTAATGTTAGTTTATCGTACTACCTTTTAATTAATACAGTCCTTAGCAATAATAAATAGCAATATGTTACAGACGGCGTGTGAGCAACCGCCCGTCACCCCACGTACCTCATCACGCAACGACACGTCTCCTTCAACCTGCATCAGAGCGAGGCCCCCGCGACCGCGAGTGCTTACACAAACTCAAGAACATCAAGCAAGAAGACACTTCAGGCTCCCTATTAGGTCACATTGGACGTCAGATTAGTGATAGCTTGTAAGACTGCCGCATTGTGTAAATAGTTTAATAAATTTACTTTTGTTTTTTGTACAATCTTTAATTTAACTCAACCCCTAGCAGTTTAAAATAGCAATAAATTCTCTCAGTAAATAATTAGTATTATATATATCACAGTAACAGCACAGAATAAATAATTTTGTTGCACTCCTTTGATGTCAACTGCTTGCAGACGTTTAATAGCCTACATAGTTATTATTAATCAGATAAATCACGCACGCAAGCTAAATAAAATTTTAGCGCTGCGCACGAGCGTCCATATTACTTTGCATCTTTTCCCCTTCCTACGCCGTGGCGGACTTCGTGGTTATTAAGGACTATCAAAAAAGAGTTAAAAAATACATTGCGAAATGTTAATTAAGTTACTTAGGTGAAGTACCTATTCTAACTATGATCGACTGACCATATTTTCGCACGTATGTGATTTCTACGATGCTCAACGCCTGCAACTAGCAAGGCCACAACAAATAAACCTGAGATACGATTGCTAACAGAAATGTGATCGTATTCTACTCAGTTAATAATCTTGTTAGAAAACAAAGTTTTAATTTCAGTGTTTTGTGTTATTATAACTTAAAATATTTTAATTACAAAAGACATATATAGGTATGTAAGTATGTAGATACTTGGATAGTGAAGTAAATTTCAACTAAGTTTTGTAATAAAGTACGTATTACTGTTGGATTAATTATTACTTAATTTTTTTTGCTATAAGTACCTATCTAACAAAATAATGAAATAAATTCACCTTTCATAACTTCCTTCTAAAATCCTTCGGTAATTTTAAGGAATGATATATCTGAACCTTTTTTTGGGCATTTAGCATCCATCCACGTAAAAATTGTAGTAGGAACGACGTTTTTCCGCTACAATTTATCAAATAGGTAAAATAATATATATAACACTAAACAAAGACTATTTCAACAAGTATTTACAAAAAACTATTTACGTAAACAGCGTTAAAAATACATCAATCGCCTACAACGCGCTAGCCCCGACTGCGTATTACACCCAAATTCACCCAAATCGCGATTTTAGGTAATAATTTCACGCCGGTTGCAAGAGTGACAGAGGCCTGCCCTGTATGCGTCGCGATTGTAGGTAATTATTTCACGCAGGTAGCAAGAGTGACAGAGAGCTGGTAACAGTTAGTTCAGTATTTTCTTTCTTTAAAATTTAAACACAACCTAAATAAATACAGTCCAATTAGCTCTCATTCATTTACACAATAGTTTCTTTAAGTTTATTAGTCAGATAGATACCACAATTTTTAGTTTCTTCTTTCTTCACAAAAGTAAATTATAATAAATAATTGGCCAAATGCAGTCCACTTAGCTCTCCATCAACTTCAATACATACCAATGATAATCGTTAATAGCAGTGTTCCCTTTCAGGCTTACTTCACGTACTAATTTCTAATTTTATAGCTAGTTGTGGGGTAAATTTTTCCTCACACTTGTAACCCTAAATATAGTGACGTATTTTTTTCTCTTTCTGCGACACGCTATGGCGGTGTCTATAGGTTTCTCTGTTTACGAGTCTTCCTTTTGTCGCGTCATAGATATGCGCTTTATGTTTACTATTTATGGTCATTTGCTCAATGTCTAACCACAAACTAATAAGAGTACTAAATGTCTAACAAATATATTTTCAAAGTTGACACCCCTAGTCCTGCCAGTACACATGTGGCTACCCCGTGATAAATCACGGTATGCGGTACAGTATAAATAGCTATATCATTCTCACTTTATTTCTTTAACAAGTTTGTTGCCGTTTTTCTTAGAGTAATCACATACATACGTATGCTGTATGCATAGAGAGAACCTACCATTCTACATAAATTGAGTCAATATACTTATCTCGCTCTTTCAAATTTAATTTCCAAATAAAGCAAAAAGAAACAAAGATGTTGCGTGTAATTCAGTCGTGTAAATAGAAATGTTAGGTGGTCATCTTTGGTCTCTAGTACATTCGTAACTTCTGACTTACTAGAAAAATGACATCCCTATTGATTGTAATAGTATTATGTGTGACCATGGAGATTAAAGAACAGGAGAACGATCACTACGTACTAAAGCATAGCTCGCCTGTCGCACGTCCTTGAAAAATTTAGAATTTATAGCGGCGCTAAAGTCTGTGAGTAGTGACTGCGAAGTTAGCTGTTTATGAGTACAAGTAGATGAAGTTAGTTAAATAATGTACAAATTTTCTTCGCGGCATTTGTGAGAAAATTTTCATGCTCCGTAATTTTGTAATTTTTGACAAAAAGAAACCGGGTCTGGGCGTCTCCCGTTGAATGACGCCCATAAAATGGATGATGGAATTCGATAGAACGCTCAAAGGGCCACTGCCTGGGGGTCACCGGAGCGCGTCTGGAGCTGGCACTGGACGCGACAGCATGCGAAACGCCAGCCGAGCGCGAGATGCTGTAACTCGCTCAAGACGGTAATTGCAAAACTTTCATAACTTAATTTACAGCCGGATTGTTACCAGACAATTTTTTTATAGAATAATGATGACAAACGAGCACACAATCTACCTGATGGTAAGAGGATGCTGTGGCACATAGACATCTACATCTATCCTTGATTAAGGATCAAAATGCAGATGCGTTGTAACCCCTGAAACTACTAAGATGGAACGCCTCGTTTCCAGTACTTAAAAGGGTTTTCCGATTTTCTACACTACCATACAAACTACAGCAGCGTTGAGGTGCTATTTCACGCTGGTATTCTGAGAGTGCGGGATCCTTCCCCGGTCGAGCCGACCCATTCGTACGACAAATATAATATAGCTGCAGTTAGTAAAATTCTGTAAAATTCGCAGCTCTACCACCTAAAATTGATTATATTGTTTTCCGAACTACCATTTTGTCTACCGAATGTAAGTACCATTAAATCATACCTTACTCCGCCTTATTAGTAGTACATGATTGAGCTTTTATTAGCTCAAAAATATAACCAGAAAATATTTCCTGTGCAATCTTAACTAAGTCTTTGTGGGTTGTAAAAATAATCTAGGAACTGATCATCGATCCGCTAGTTTACAATCACAGGTACTAATTACGGCAAAAAGGTGATGTAATTATGATTATA